AATACTTTTGGACTATCTCTTTGATTTCATTTACTTTTCATGAATTCAAGTAAGATTTAATTAATCGAGTTTTGTCCCCATACTTACCTAATACTTAGTTACTTAATAATTTAAATATGAAGCAATCACTAAATATAAATAACAATATAAATGTATTAATGTGAGATAATGTACATGAATAGTGGTGGAAGCAGAAAGTGGTTAATTTAAGTTAACTGGTATTGGTTAATATCACAAAGATCATGATCCCAGTTCAGTTCCACTCAACATCAGAAAGCATTATACAGTAAATCAAGAGTCCTGTAGAGGGCCATGGCAATTTTAAGTAGTATTTTATTATCCCCTGCAACTACGATGGGCAGCTGCTGCAAACAGGGACTGCCAACAGATTTCCTAATTGAATCTTCTTGAGAAAGGAGAAAATAAAGCTTTCATGTCTTGTGACATAATGACACAAAATTGATGTCAAATCCTTTGTGGATTGACTGGACAGATGAGACACGCTAATTTCTTTTTAAGTGTTCAGTGTATATTCTATTTGTTTACAGTCTTGGGTGTTTCTAGACACAGGCCATAACAGGAGGCATAACTGGCCCTTGTGCTGAAGACTAGGAAAGACTAGGGTGTGGGGAAAAAAATCGATTTGGAGATATATGGTGATTTTCGGCAGCCCAATATAATTCAGATCATTCCGTTACTAATATCGATCTAAAAAAAAAAAAAAATGTTATCTAAAAGAATGAGGGAAAATGAGCTACCTTTGCACGACACCCTGGTAGATAACACCGTTGGGCCCTTTTGCTGTGCGCCACAGCACCATTTCTGTAGTTCAGGCAGTCACGGTAGAAGGCCTTACTCAAACCCCAAACAACATGGATTTTGATTAAGTTAAACAGCATTTGATTTTGGTTTTTTATCTATTCATTCCAATTAATTAATAGCTTGGTAAAATATTGCAGTATATAGGGATATTGCAATATTGTGATAATATCATATTGTGACCAAAGTATTGTGACATGCTCACCATTTCTGTAGTTGAGGCCGTCACGGCGGAAAACCCGGACTGACTCAAACCCCAAACAACATTTTGATGAACATAAACAGCATTTGTTTTTTTTTTTACCTATTCACTCCAATTATTCGATAGCTGGGTAAAATATTGAAATATATAGGGATATTGCAATATTGGGATAATACTGTACTGTGACCCAAGTATTGTGACACGCTCTATCCATGCCAACACTCACTTCTACTAAAGACAATACACAATAAATTATTGATAAATAATATATGATATGCTATTGGACATAATCTACAACCGATTTTTACTTTTTGTAATAGATTTATTAATTAAGTTAGACCTGGAGACTAAGACTTTCTTTATTGTCATTGCACAAAAACCACAAGCTGAAATCTGTTAGGTAAAATGTTGATCCTTGGCTCTGGACAATAAATTAATATGTACATAAAAACTGTCTGAATATTTAATATATAGATATAGATGTGTTTATTTATTATATGTAAATGTTAATGTAGTACAAGGTAAATAAATAGAAAGTATAACTGTAGAAGTATAAAATGTAAGTTGTTGACGTTTTGCTTCAGGTTTCTGGTTGCTGCATATGGCTCTTTGGTTCTTAATTTATCGAACAATAAATAATTGTATATCAAACTTCTTTGATATACAATTATTCATTGTAGCAGAACATTGCTGGTTTTTGGAACCATCTATCATTACTTTATAACTTTTGAGATCATGATAAATTCTTGATGTTTTATTTTAGTTGGCATAACATTGGAAAAAGAGGCACTCAGAGTTTTTTATTATCGTCACAAAGTACAGCTTGTAGCATCCCTATTCATAATTCAGGACTCTGCTCACTTCGTTCACATCAGTGGTTGACAGGGCAGTATATATTTGATGTATTTTCTAAGGTTATGATTCACTCAATTCAGCTGGTGAACAAAAACAATGGAAGTTGCTTGTTTGTGATATTTACTAGTTAGAAAATATATGTTTTGTAATTTATGGTTTGTTTTGGCAGACAATATAAAAGTAGTCTTATCCTTTTTTGTTTTGTTTTAGTACAATAATAGAGAAGCCTGCACAGTATTCCTTGTGGATTCAGTAAGAGTCTCATCTAAGTTTGAGAACTACTAGATGCCTGTAAAAGTTATTCATGATTTAAGGATTTTTTAAGCCTGGACCATTGTAATCCTTATGCTGTAGCAAGAGATCTGCTAAAAATGAAAAAGGCAGCTTATATTTTTCCTATTGTTATTTCCCTTCATTGGCTCCCTGTTAAGTCTAGAATAGAATTAAAAATCCTCCTTACATGTAAAGCGCCTATAATTAAGCTCCACCATGCATCAGAAATCTGTTTTTTCCGAATGTTCTTAACAGAGAACCTCAATCCCTGAATTAAACCTCCTGGAGTTTTTAAAAATAGAATGGGAGAAAAATCTTTTAGTAATAAATCTTCTCTCCTGAGAAGCCAAGTCTTAGTTTTGGTCTGAAATGCAGACACCTATCTTCTTTTAAGACTAGGCTTAACACCTACCTTTTTGATCAAGCCTATAGTGAGAATGGTTGAGATCATCTATCTCTGTAGATATGGCGCTAAAGGCCAAGGTTCCTACTCCTCCCAAATTTTGCATTCTTGCTATCATTTCATGTGTTAAGCAATTCTCTTATTTTTTTATGGTTTTTTATTACAAATACCATTCACAATTATTAGGAGTGTATTATTTCAACCCAAGTAATGGTAATTTAGAATATCAGTTAAAAATCATTAAAGGCATAGGGGAGGATTTTTTAATAGAACCCCTCTCTCCACTTAAAAAAAAAATGCACATACACAACCCTCTTGTAACCCTCCTGAGAGGGAGTACCTATTATATGTGTGCAAGAGCGTGCACAAACCCATTTCTCCTTATGCACACTCTCTTTATAAGTTGCTGTTTGTATCGCTCATAAAAGCTTACTTTCCAAAAGACAATTTGCATTTTTTTTCACTATGTCACACTCACCACCAGTAAGTAAAAATGTATTTACAACAAGCAAAAGTGTTAAAAAAATATGTCTAAAGCCAATTATCATATCAAATAATGGAATGCAAATAATCGCGATGAGAAAGGTGAGCTACAATGACTGGCTGAAACCTTAGCTCACCGCACATATACACCTGAAAGTGTGCATGCGCAGAAAAATATAGCTACAAGCGAGCATGTAGGACGGGCTTACATAAACATATCACCAGAATGACTGTCAATTAGGAGGACCACTTATTTAGATGATCCACCTGGAAAACAAACATCCTCCCCTTGAAGAACTAACTTTTAGAGAAAGCAGATTTAAAACGTATACATATCTCTCGCTCTATGCGTTATTTACTAAACACAATAACTCCCCTGTTACAGGTAATTCTTTTTAACATTACCTAACTGCAACTACAAAGAACACAAACTACTAAGAAGAAAGAAGAAAACAACCAAAAAGGGTCAGCATAAATCATGAATCACCATATCAATGATCTCTAGCAGCTTAATAATCATATTAATAATATATAAATTGGCAGGCCATCCAACAGCAGGTATGACATTTTCACAGCTTTGGTGAATTAGGAATTGTCAGGCTCCATTTGCCTGGACCAAAAGCAGATCAGGATAATCGATGATGAGTTGACTCATCAGGAAGACAAAAAGGAATATTACGTCTTTTTGAGGAGGAATAATAAAAATGGAGGTCCAAAATTTGCCAGCAAACTTGCAACCTCTATCCATGGTTCTTGCTGTGGGTAAGTTGGGTCCAGGAAATTCTGTGAGTCTTGGTAATGACACAGTTGTTGTGGAAGCGAAGGAATCTAGGTGAGCGGAGAGGAGAGTGGATTAGGTTGACTGGAGCAGTGACTTTAAAGGTGTTTTGGGCTGCCCGCTGGAAAAAGCACCAATGGCTTTACCTTGGGGTTTCTAGATGTCTGAACAGCTGAAGGTTTCTGAGGAGCTTGAACCTCAGGAACATTAGTCCCCAAAGTTTAACATTCTGGTACTGGAGAGCTGGGAGCAGGTTCTTAAGTAGTCCACTGCTCAATGGGGAACAGGTGAAACAATCAACCTGCCACTCAGGGGGAAAGCGCTTGAGGAGGACCTCTGGAGGAGAAGCTGAAAACTGCTTAAATGAAGCAGGAAACTCCCAGACCCCAACAGGCTGTTTCCTTTTCTGTTAAAGCTTGGCTTTAGTCTCCGGTCTTCGCCAACTCAAAAACAAGTGTTCCTCCAGGATTCTGTATTTTGCTTCCCCTATTTGTCAAAGCATCCCCACAGCCTTATTTTGCCAACACCATGTTTCACAATGGGGTTATGTATTTAGGTTTATGTACAGAGTCAGTTTTCAACAAAACGTACAATATATCTTTATTCCCCTTCACAATTATGCTTTACTTTGCTTTGGTACCTTACTGTATATAACATCAATGTATGTTCTATGAAAAGCAAGGAGTATAGACAACAAATCTGAACCATAATGGGTGCAATAAACTTTATTCTGTGTTTTTCCTGTACGACAAATAAGCAGGCAGCTTTTTTCTGCGCTGCTTTTTTTCAATGAGCTAAGGCTTTTGTGATTAAATATTGACTATCTCACGTAAAGCACATTCAGCAAATGAATTCATTTTTTTTTTAGCCTGTAAAGTGCTTGCAAACATCACATGCAAAAAAAATAAAAATCAATTTGGCTTTATATTCAGCAGCTGGCTTTGTAATGTAGTTAATGTTTCATTGGGGCTGGTGTTTACAGTATTGTTTGTTTTGTAATCTAAAAATAGCAGAAGTCCCAGAAATATTATTGATTTTATGAACCAGTGCCAAGCACATAATTCAATCAGTGCCACATTGTTTAACATTGGAGCCATGAAGTGTTCCAGCTCTGCTGTGTTTGTTTAAAAATAGAAGTTAATATGTAGGATTATAGAAGCTTAAAGTTTCATGTGTTTCTCTGACAGGGATGACCTGCCAGGCAAGGACATCATACACAGAGGATGAGGTTCTCTGGGGACACCGCTTCTTCCCTGTCATCTCCTTGGAGGAAGGCTTCTTCAAGGTGGACTATTCTCAGTTTCATGCCACGTTCGAGGTTCCCACTCCTTCTTATAGTGTGAAGGAGCAGGAGGAAGCCCTTCTCCTGTCCTCGCCCCTCATGGCACCATCGTTGTGCAACAGCGGGGAGAAAAACAGCTCCCTGGACTGCCTGGAGACTCTGGAGGACAATGACAGCACCACCAAGCTGCCTACCAAGTTGCAGAAGATAACAGGCCGGGATGGTCTACCCAAAAAGCTGCTGAGGATGAGCTCCACCACCTCAGAGATGACTTACAGCTTCGGAGACCTGCCCATGAAGCTTCAGCGAATCAGTTCAGTGCCTGGTGTCTCTGATGATAAACAGGCGGGGAAGGCCTCCAAGATCAGCACAGAGCCCATCAGTAAGTCTGTGGCAGACTTGCCCCCAAAGCTGCAGCGACTGGCTGGGGGAGGGGGAAGGATGGACGGACACTTGCCGCCTAAACTTAGAAAAATGAACTCAGATCGCTTTACATAAAGCATGTGACAAATTTTAGCTCCTGCTATCCTTTTTTTTTTTTTAACCTGAAATCCTTGTACTATTCTGTATTTATTAACAGACAATATTCTTATATTAAAGGAGCTGTAAAATTTGTGCACAAATACCTTATATACAAAAGGGGGGATGCAAATGAGCACATTTATCCCTGGATGTAAGTGTTTTTGCTCAAATGAGAGAACTCAGATTTCTTTATTTTTCTTTCTCTTTCTTATAATTTCTTCTTTTTTAGTACGATGTACAATTAGCACAATTTGGCATGTAAGAAGCAGCGCATGTAGAACCTATTTTCAGTTTCTGGCATGACAATTTGTTGATTTCACAGAACAAAACAAAAAACCAAAAAACAAACCAAAAAAAACATTTCATTGATGAAATTACAGACAGTGGACAATTGCACAAAGCCATACGATTTACACCACTGGAAACCAACATTACATTGGTTCTATTCTGTAGTGAAGAAAGGCACATATGTTTGTTTTGAGTTACTTGCTTTTGTTGTTTACTGTAAAACCGTGGCAATGTTACGTTGGTTGCATGCTCTTCTTACTGACTTAGCTATAAAAAGGTAATAGACACAGATGTTTAGCCTTAATTATATTACCTTGTTTCCATTTTTCATGTTTGTTCACGGCCGTATTTTTGGTATTTCATATACAGACTATTTTATCATGTGCAGTTTTAAGATTTTATCTGATCAAATACAAAAAGTGCTGCTAGATAATGCGTACTATATTTACAAATGCATTATCAGCAACCTGGGCACAACAATACACAATTTTCATTTAGTATTAAAGTAACACTTAAGTTGAAATATTCCATAGCTGTAACTGATAAGCACAAACAATCATGAATCCCTAAAAAAAATAAAACAAATAAAAATTATTTTCTCATCATATACTAAAATGCAACCTTCAGTAAGCCAGTAGTGCTTTCACAAAAGCACCACTGAACTTTCAACTTAGGTGTTACTTATTAGATTTGGTGGCGCTGTAAAAGAAATAGGTACTATATCTTTGTTTTAGGGACCATTTTATTCCTCCTCTGTGATGAAAGCAATAATATTAGAAAAACAACAACCTATAGCCACAGGGTCTACCAAAGCCCCTATGATTGTTCTGTTTACTTGATCTGTGCCATGAAATCTGGTTTTCTCTAAATGCATCAAAGACATTGTATGATAACTGATCTCTTCAGGAATAAAGATCTAATGTAACAATTTAGAATCCTACTTGGTGGCCCCACAGTAGAATGGTCTTGCAATAGTCATACAACTAAGCATTTGCTCATATTTGTGGGTGCCCAACATCTTATCTCAAGATTTTTAGCTTGTTCGATTTGATGTTGTGAACAATTGGGTCTATTCATATTCTAAGAAAACACCACTCCTGGTTGAGACCAGATTGTCACTTGATACAGTCAGGCTTACAGGTAACAGTAACATTAACTACTGTATATCTGGAAAAATCTGTTTTCTTTTTTTTCTTGTTCCAGCTTTATTCAAGAAGCCCAAAATTTTATGTTTTTATGAGAGATAACTTTGATTGTGGATTTAAAGAGTGCTCTGTTGGGTTTTCTCTGATGACCTTAATGTGTTTTTAAACTTCTCCAAAATGTTAATCCTGAGCTCCCTGCTGTGTTCATTGGCCTTTGCGAGAGTGTTAATTCGCCAATGATCTCTGAAGCCTCCACAGGACAGCTTGATTTATGAGATTGAATTACTATGGTGTCTCAGAGCAGTCAAAAAATCCAAAACCCACAACACAAAAACAAAAGCCACATCAAATGTTGAAATAAAACATATTTTCCTGAGAGTAACTTAGACCCGGTATACAATATGCAATTATAGGCCCTCATAGACAAGAGATGGGGGCCCAGATCAAAAAGATATTCTGTTTGAATATCATAGAGTAATCTTTGGTGGTGGCTCTAAATTTGTGGTCTCATGTCTCGCTGAGGGTGAATCCTGGATGGCAGCTTTTAGCGCCTTACTACCAAAGATAACGTGCAAAAATTATTTTACAGGGGTTCTCTCAATACGACAGCTGTTAAATGAGTTGGCTAGATGTACAGTACATTTGCATCAATTAATGTGTGAAACTTAAAACATGAAAGAAACATGTCTGTGATGTATATCTACATCACACCACATCTTACTGGTTTCCATTTCATGACGATTTTCGGTTTATTTCAACTCTCAGTGTGGGTACTGTGTTGTGGTTTTTTGTGGTCATGTAGCTTATTCTGACTTCTCCTGTCCACTGAAAATTAGAAACAGGTGAACTATATTTACAAATGGGCCACCTCTTCAGAAATGTGTTTGAATATATTATTTGTGATTACAAATTACAAAATGTACTTTTTTTTTTTAAATAATTGTACTTTTAACAATTTTATAAAAACAAAAATTTTGGTTCTTCATAATTATAAATGCAGATTTTCTAGCTAATGGTGTCATAAAGCTCAGAACGTAGGACCCAGAATTCAAGGCAAGACAGACAGTGTGATAATTCAAAGGCGTTTAGAAGATCGGGTAGATCTGCGAATTTGTAGCGGCTGCGGCTGGGCACTGCCTATCACTGGAAACTATGGTTGGAGAACAACACAGGTAAGGGACCATGATATTCTGACGGAGGATGATAATCCCTGTGAGTCACTTACCTGGTTATCAGTTCAGTCCAACTCCTTAAAACGCAGTAGGATCCAGCCAGAGGGCTTCCAACTAGATGCAGCACACACCACCCAGATGCTGCAGCACTGGAGGGCACCGGACGGCAAGCAGAAGTCCAAGCCAGGTCAAGGAAACAGATTAGAACAGGAAGGCTCAGAGGTCCAGGAGTCTGAAGCTCGGTCATGGATACTGATCAGAATAAACAGGCTGGTTCAGGGTTCCATGAGTCCATAGAGAGTTCAGGCAGAACATTCAGATGGGGACAGGACACGCCCAGTGGTTGAGAGGCAGAGCAGGTCAGGATATCAGGAACACTACGGTATGCTAAAAACTAACTCTCCTCTAAGCTAAGACAGGAACAGGGCACCCTCAGTGGATAAGGGGCAGACCAGGAAATCAAGAACACTACAGAAATGTTAAAAACCTCTTTCCCCACTTGCCCCCTGAGAACGAGCACATGAAATATGGTATCAGCAACCATCTCAAACTCAGTGATCTGGTCCTTATGGCTGGGACTGAGCTGTATATATGGAAGCAGGAGCAGGAGGATTAGATAAGCAGTAATTGGAAACTGAGCAATGTTAGGCAGGTGAATGAAATGAGCAATTAGACCAGCCCTCAGAGCCATGATCATGACAAATGGGGTTAATGACATGACAAGGTTAGGACCCTCTCGCTGTAGAACCTAACATTCAGCTTAATAAAAAAAAGTGTGCAGAACTTCATTATTAAGTGGTTTACATTCATATTAAAAAAGTGCTGTGAACTGATAGAAAATGCTTGACACCTTTAAATTTTTAAGTTGAGTCAACATTAAAAGCTTGAAAGAGGTGCAGACAGTGCAGATCAGAGTAACCCCATTGGCTGTATTCAACATTGAGTAAACAACTTTTTGCACATTTCTGCTGACTAATGTTGTTATTGTAATGTATTCTTGTTTTCTATATACATGGTTAGGGTTAGGAGGAACATGTTTGATCCAAACAAGATACATTCCGAAAAGGATGATCTCTACAGGCTGGTTACTTAGAATAAGCTTGCTATTAAAGCCTCATTTACACTACCCTTTTGAAACCGTGCTGAGATCGGTCCAAGCATGGTAACCCCGATAACTGTTGAGTGTAAATGGCAAGCAAAACTGAACAAGGCTGTGTAAGATACAACCAAACCATGCTAAACTGGTACTAGTTCATCAGTAGGGCTCGGCGCGGCTCAGTTCTGGCACGGTTCTCAGATAACAAAAAGAGCATGAGCAGACGGCGTCATCTCCTTACGGTCAGCCTCTGTAATCATAAAATTTTAGACATTCATAAAAATACTAGCTTCCCTACCTTGTCACGTGATTTCCAGTGATGATTCTGTTTAGCAGCAGTGTTGGGCACGTTACTTTGAAAAAGTAATTAGTTATAGTTACCAGTTACTTCTCTCAAAAAGTAACTGAGTTACTAACTGAGTTACTCCACAATAAAAGTAACTAGTTACTAGTAAAAGTAACTATTGCGTTACTTTTGCATTTCTCGCCCCCGTAACCCTCACCACCCAGCCCCCACCTTCTCACCGTGTGTTTCAAAAGCCAGCTGAATAGAGCCGACGACCAAGACAGGAACCTGCAGAGAGTTTTGCATTCATTGCAACTCAACGTAAATGACATCAGGGGGGAACGCGATGTGAATTTTTTTAACAGGGCATTCAGATCTGGTGAGTGTATGAAATTAATAACTGGGGATGTCTAATTCTGAAATCCTGTGTGTTTGGGTTGTTATAGATACTGCAACATCTATCTATCCATCTATCTATCTAGATGTATACTCTGTGTGTGACATAAAATATGGATCTCCATCCCTGCCACAAAGGACATCAAATAATGTTTAAAATAAAAAATACAGTAGGTTGAAAAGGCAGAGTATCCATCCATCCATCCATCCATCCATCCATCCATCCATCCATCCATCCATCCATCCATCCATCCATCCATCCATCCATCCATCCATCCATCCATCCATCCATCCATCCAGATTTCTCCCTTTCTCCTTATAGGCTATCATTTGATCGTTCACGCTCTCCATAGTTCTCCTGTGGCGCGAGCACAGGGCGACTGTTGCGCGCTTTTATCGAGCATGCGCGTTTCCTGTCGCTTGCGCGGTGAATCGTGCCGCCTGCGCTGTGCGGAGATGCAGGGGAAACCGTATGTGAAGGAGAAACGCAGCTCGACATAACACCAGTATTTCCATCTGGAAAACGATGTTTTGCTGCTGGATCCTCCTCACTCTCCATCTCTCTGTGTGTGCTGTACATTAACACCCGCCAGCAGAAACACTCACCTACCCAGCTGACCGACGGAATCTCACTATACATCAGCCATTCTCATCCTCCCCTCTCTCATGACAAGGCGCGCACGAGTCCTATCACGAAAAAAGGTTAATTGTGCGACCTGAGTAACGCGCAGTAACGGGGTGTCTGCAATGGTAACTGCGTTATAGTTACAGTCAAAGTAATTAGTTAGATTTGTTACTAAAACAAGGTAACGGCGTTAGTAACGCCATTACTTTCAACGCCGTTAGTCCCATTACTGTTTAGCAGTGTGATAACCTTCAATGTCTGTCATTGTTTCCTGCATCTGTAAGCCCTGGTTAGGCTATTGGTTGTCGTATCCACTTCCCAAAAGCTGACTCTGTCAAGGAAATTCACCAAAGGCTGCCTTCTTTGCCTGACTCTCCGCAAACAACTAAATATCACAATTATAACCAAACGTCCTGAATGTTACAGGTGCCGCCATGTTGAGTTGCTTGTTTCCCTTTAGAGATCAGTTGTATTGTAGATCGTCGTTAGGAGGCGAGGAACTGTGCTAGCATGGTGTGCAAATGGTCGTAAGGAACTGAGCTCGGCACGGTTAACTGATCCAAGCTTGGTCCGAACTCGGCACGGATTGGTTTTCAGAGGATGGTGTAAATGGGGTTACTCAAAATTATGTTAGCTAAGATGTGCAAACTTAATGTACGAAACTTGCACATACACTGTAAATTTGGTGAGTTGAAAACAAATTATTTCAATGACACTTATTTCCCCTAAACCATTTAAGCTTATTAACTGAAACAGTTGAGTTAATAAGAAATAAGTCTAATTAAGAATATATAAGTGGCCGATCATGCAGATAGGCCACTTAACCCTATTAGTGGAATAATAGTATAAAATACAACAAGAGAATCTAACTGATTGAAATCAGCAGGAAAAGTTTCAGTTGCTCATTGGGTGACTTATTAAATTTAAGGAAACATAAAAATAAAAAAAATAGGTAGCACAGGATTTTTTTTTTAAAGCTGCTCTTACGTAAACATAGACTTCTCAGATTCCAGAAATATAGGTTTTGTCCACCGAATTCACCAGAAGCAACAAAAGAGCAGAATAAATGACATAATAAATCCTAAATCCACTACTGTACAGCATCATGGTGTCCCATTCTTCTTAGCAAGCTTTTTGCAATCCATTCTTACATTTTGTGACCCATTTTAAACTTTGTGACTGGACAAAGATGAAAGTCAATTATTTCGGTTAAAA